ATTGAAAAGATTTCAGTTCAAAAATTAAAATAAATTTGAAAATGAAGTTGAGGTAGCATTTTTTTTGCATTTCCACTATTATTTAGGTAAATTTGAACTTCTACTACTTCTTGTTCTGACAGTGAGGCGAAGTAGATGCACAAAGCAGGTGTTTACTACTCCACCAACAATGGAGTCGTAACAGTAGATATCACTTATTGGTAGATTGTTTCTCCATTTATTAATAGATTAATTACATCGCTTTTTAGGAAACAAAGACGTTTTTGTATTATAATTTACACAGCAGCAGGTTCAATTTTGAACCATACACGCTGTATACTTAAATTGCCGCAAATTAGTCCAGACATCGCTGTATAACCTATTCCAGTAGGAACCTTTTTACGTATGTTCTTCCACAGCGCCCTATGTCCAAATTCCCGACCTGTATCTCTTCCCGCTGTTCTTTGCAGTGTAATTGTCCCTAGATTTGTGCATATTCTATCCCAGCAAAATTAAAAATCTTATCTCATAACCGCTTCTTATCCTGTTCCTGGATTTTCCGGTTGGTTTCCATGCACACCGCAGCTTTTTACATCCAGGTCTTGTTTTTTGATATGTATTTCTGTGCTAGACCGCGGTTTTGTGTCGTTATTGCCAGTGCTTCTCCTGTTCAAATTCAAATTGCCTGCAGTTCAGTACAACTTTTGTTCGATTTTGTCTTTCTTGTTGTTTTCGTTTGCTTTTTTCCTCTTTTCCAGTAATGAGCAACAAATTACTTTAGGATTTAGAAGCTTTATTGTTCACTAAGGCTTCGCAGGGGGTGACAAAAGAAACAGTTCACATTAATGAAGACAGTCAGTCGTATTTTAGGGCTGAAGGGGCAGGAAGACATAGCAGCGTAGGGATGGCGTCACAGTCAACTTCATTACATTTTAATCAGATCAGCTGTTACTTCCTCAATCTTCTTAGTCACACGTTGGGTGTGCTTACTGGTTACAACACCAGAAGAATCTTTTGGCAACAGCACGTCCTCAATAACATCGGCCATCGTCGGCTTCTCCTGAAGCATCGGCATATTTTTCCCTTCTGTAATTACAACTATTTAGATCGTTCGCATTATTAACTGAATAACAACCATTATTATTATAAATGACAGCATTTTTCGAAAAATTTTACGTACAAATTTACTAACGCCAATCACCAAGAAGGAAACCGTCAATGCATAGGCATGCATGCCCGAATTATCCCTATTTTTATTTTGCTCAACACTGTAACGTTCGAAAGGAGGATCTGGAGTGCCTGACTGGCTGCGGGGAAGCGCTTCAACAGTTGTGAGAACGTGCTCAACACCAAACAACAAAGCCCCAAAAAACCCTTTTATTAGTGCAATCTTAAATCAAAAGGAGCAAACGAACCGCAGAAATCGCCCGGCAGCAGCTCCAAGCTGCCACCGGACACGCACAATAATTACAAGCGGCAGCAACTCCAAGCTGCTACCGCGCACCTTCAAAGTCCAGCGAAACAATCACAAATTCGTTTCCAAATATCACATCAAATATCACGGAGGGAGAAACTCGAGCCAAGAGACGGGACATTTGCATATCACGGGGAACCGAAGGGCAACTGGGCAAGGCGAAAGGAGTTTAGTCTCCATCTTCGTTTCCTTGCTGTTTGCTCCTTCCTTTTTCAACAACCCCAACACTCATATTAACATTGTAACTACGTCGAAAAATATACCACCTCATATGGTGAGATGTATTTGCTTAGCGTTACAAAAACAGTTTGTAGGTCAGATCAGGGTAGTTTGATAACAAGTTCGCAGGACGAGTCTGTTATGGACTATCGAGGAATTGGTAGGGTGTGATGCTGCACTGCGTCCATTATTCCGTCTGTTCGGAAATTCTACTGTACCACCCATCTGTTTTGTTCGATAAATTTGTGTTGTCTTCGTCCAGTGTCTCCGGTAAGAACAGCATTGTTAGCGTCGTCCAGCATCAATCGTCGTTTTTCTCCACGCTAAAATCGTCCAAGCTGCGTGTAACAGCAGCAACACTATACAACCGTATGCCGTCTATAAGTGTACCAGGCTGCGCCAAACAATTATTACTGTGCATAAATTTTCACTTATTACATTTATCATTGCTACATATAACTTTTCAGTTACAATTATGGCTATTTACTGCAAGCAAATTTTAAAAAAAAGTGAAATGAATTGACCAGTTTTGGTCGTAAACTATATCCCAGTTTACTTTTTTCTGGATTACGTCGATTTTTTCAAAATGAATTAGAAACGTAAACCAGGAATCTACGGTGTCGCTGTTA